ATATTCACTGAGGACCTGCATTGCCTCAGACACTGGGGACACAGTGGGGAACTGGACAGTCCTGGTCCTAGCTCTACCCATTGACCTTAGACCAAAGGCCACATGGGCTCTACATCCCTGTACCATATTCACTGAGGACCTGCATTGCCTCAGACACTGGGGACACAGTGGGGAACTGGACAGTCCTGGTCCTAGCTCTACCCATTGACCTTAGACCAAAGGCCACATGGGCTCTACATCCCTGTACCAAATTACCTTTCAGGGTCTAGACTGGGGCTCTTGCAGGCCTCCTCACCAACCAAGTCTCTCTTGGCCTCTCTAAGGCTGGGGACCTCTTTGTCTTTGGAGCCTGGGGAAAAACTATGGAGGAAAGAAACATAAGTCAACCACCCAGTAGCCACCCACACTCAGATGAAGGCAGTTAGCTCATCCCTAAATGCCAACTGTCTCCAAGGAACTTAAAATTTGATATTGTAGGACTGGCCAATTCTCAAATTCTCATTACTAATAGTGGCTGTTGACTGGAGGTCAGACTCCATTCTCATGATTCTGCATGCATTAATCCTCCAGGTAAACCCCAGGACATGCACACTGTATTTGTCCATGTCTACTTTCTAGATGAGTGAATGAGGGCACAGAGAGCCCAAGCAATGTGCCCCAAGTTCCCCAGGTAACAAGGGGAAGAGCTAGGATTTGAACCCAAATGGTTCAAATTAGTCCAGAACTCTGGTTGCAGGTTCTGGACTGTAATTCTCTATGATGTTAAGACTGCTCCTAACCTCCTAATTCAACCTCCCTCTGTTCTTTCTGACCTAGTGGGACACCTCTGGCTTCCTTCCTCCATCTGTCTGTCATAACTCTGTGACACCATCTCCTACCTCCCTTGCCATACCTTCCCAGTAGCCTTCACCTTTTCTCCTCTTCTGCCCTGTAATTTTGGTGTTCTCAGCATTCCTTTCCATGCCCATGCTCCACCACCGTGCCCACCTCCTCTGTTCCCATGGCATCAACTGCTACCTTCAAACTAGTGACTTCCACTTGTTCCGACCTCTCTGTGCTCCTGACCCATACCTCCAATGCCATCAGGCTGCCCTCAGGGGGGATGACCAGGTAGTTGCCACCTCCACACAGGGGTCTGTGCTTCTTTCCTTGACTCCCTTGACACTGTGCCCCATGTAAACACTGACATTGAATCCCACTGTTTCACTTTAATCTGTCTGCACATAACATGGAGATTTCTTGAGCCCTAACCTCTCTCCAAAACCTCAACTACAAACCCTCAAATACCGCATGGCAATTTGCATTTGGATGCCCACAAGTAAAATCACATATTCATTTAAAAATACCAAGTATTTATATCACCCCAAAAGGCATAGAGTGGGAGTCAAGCAGCCTCGGTGGGAGTCCTGAATCCGCCTGTTCTTGGCCATGTTACCTTGAGCAAGCTACTTGACCATTCAGAGTCTCAATTTCCACATCTATTAAATGGACAGAGTGACTGCGTTTACATCCTGCATGGGGATACCTGCTAGGCTGTTGGGGCAGGGTAGGGCTTGGTGAATTCTAGCTTTCCCTCTTTCTTCTTCCCCCAATTTGATTCTCCCATTGGCAAGTGGGAGATCAATGGGTTGTTGTAGCTTTGCCGCTCCCAGACAAAGTACCAGAAGCCTTGTGGGTTCTGAAGACAGGAGACACACCAGGGATGTTCACTGGAGGCAGCCTGACTTCCTCCTACATCTCTTGGGGTCACTTTGCCCTTGTTTCTCAGAGATTGGCACCTTAGGGAAATCAATGAAGCAGCTTTCGATATTGCCTTATTAAAGAAATCATTCCAGTAATAAACACTCCTGCATTTCTGATCTGGTCCAAAGGGAATGTATGGAACACTTAACTGCAGGTGCTCAGAGTTCTTGGGGAACAATGATCTATGAGTGGACAACTGTGCACCGGCAGGATTTTCCCCAGGGTGCCGGCATAACTACTTCTGCCTTTTAGAAATCTCACCCAGGTAGAGATGTGGAGTGTCTAGGGATGGGGCAATAGAAGATTAAGAAGAGGAAACATCCCTAAAGTAAAATGGGTAGGACTCAGTGCCTGACTGTGGTGGGGATGTGGAGGAGGAGTCAAAGAGGAGAGTAAAGGAAACTAGAGATCCATCAGGCCTCACCTTGGATGCCACTTCTCCCAGGGAGCCTCCCCTTAACCATCCCCACCTCTAGCTGGTGACGGGCCCCTGCTTGGAGCTCCCACTGCTCTAGTGGGCATACACTCTGGCCTCCCTCCCCAGTCTCTGGCCTTCATGAGGCAGGGACTCAGGGGTCGGGTGTGCATCAGGAACTCAGTAAACGGTAGCTGACTGAATAGCTAAATGAATAGAAGACGGATCCCGCCTTTCACTTGTCCCTTCAGAGAGAATTGGCGCCTCCCTGCTCAGATCTCCCCTTGCCCCCACCCCATCTTCCCTGGATCCCAGCCCCTAGCAAACCCTGTAGGCTTCCCCCCACCACCCCACCATCCTGCCTGCCTGTTGCATGACTCTCTCCCTCCTATCTCAGGGCAAGGACTAAGCCCTCTGTGATCCCTGCTGGCTGTGGTCCCCCTGTCACTCACCTTCCCCAGCACCGTGTGCATCAGATGGTTAACATTTCTGGCCAGGGGGCAGTCACCCCTGGGGTGGAAAGAATGAGATAGATAGGGGTAGGGGACCCAGGTTGACCATGTCTCTCACCAACCAGCCTCTTGCCCTGACCATTTGTATCCCTTCCCTACTGACCCCACCTCTAAAATGTCACGGAAGGAGCCCAGCAGGGCCCCCATACCTCATCCCTTCCAGGTCTGGGGCCATCAGGCGGAGTCCTGCTCCAGGTGTCGTGATCTGCAGGCGGACAATCTCCTCACCTCTTGTACTGTAGCCAAGGAAGAGAGCCAGGGAGTTGCTGGTAAGACAAGCCTTCCTGTTTCCCAACTGTGCCAGGGGTCCAAGGGCATTCTCCCTCAGGAGCTTTCTGGCTAATGCCGTGGGACACCCAGATCCATTGCCTTTTTTCTCCTCCTTGTCTCCTCTTTGGCCTTAAGCTTTCTTGGTGCTACAGCTGAGTGTGGGCCACTGACCTCCAGGCCCCAGAGGAAGGAGAGTGAAACAAACACCCCTTTACCAATCTCCCACCCACAAGCCCAGACCCCCTTAGGCACAGCAAAGGGCCTTCTGGGCGGCAGTGGGACCACCCAGCTCCAATGCTCTGTCTGTAGCTGCTGCCATGATGCTGCTATCTGCTTGCAGAGGTGAGGCCTGGATGTGGTTCCTCTGGAAAGTCCAAAATGGCTATTTGTGAGGCCAGTGGGAATTCTGTATATATGGACTGATGGGGACTGATGCCCAACCAGATACTCAGGAAACCTACAGACCAAATTTGGAGTGTGAGCTAGTGAGTGTAGGATATCAGGGACTTGGGGCCTGAAAGCAGGTGACCAGGTACCTGTGAGCTAGAGGTGGGGGAGGAAGAGGCAGAGGTTGCCAGGGTGAGGGCTGGGAGGCAAATGGTCTTCACTTTGGGTGAACTAGAGTGGCTTGGTTGCTCTCCTTTGAAAGTCACCTTAGAGTTGATTCTGACATCTAGCTCCAACCTACACGAGGAGGCCTTAAGAGGACTGGGTCAGTGGGCTGCTTGTTTATGTCCCTCCTGGGACTTGGCTGAAACCTAGCACACTGGAGATGACAAGAGGGAAATGGAAGGGCTTCCAGGGACAGGGTACCTGGTGCACAAGGGCAGCTCTGATTTCTTTGTCCTCCCATGATAGCAATGATGACAGCATAAAGCACGTGGCTGGGACACACGCCACTTGAGAACATCATAGGCAAATAAAAACATACTTCTTCAGTGGTGTTGTCATGTCAGGGAGGAAATAGGAACAAAGTATGACCCAAGCCTGTCCAAGCCGGTGCCTCTCCTTCAATGCCTTCCTCCTTCTTTGTCATCCCCTTGAGCAATTCCACAGGGAGGCTGTTATGGGTTGCACTGTTGCTCCTAAAAGATGTGATGAAGTCCTCTCTGGTATCTGAGAATGTGCCTTTATTTGGAAATTGGGCCACTGCAGATGTAATTAACTTAGGGTAAGACTGGAAAAGAGTGAGTCCTAATCCGATATGACTGGGACATTTGTACTCAGACACACGGAAGGAATACAGCCATGTGAGAACGGACACCTACAAATTAAGAACCAACAAGGATTGCCAGCAATACTGGAGGCTAAGAGAAAGGCCTGGAACAGATTCTCCTCCAGAGCCTTTGGAGGAAACATACAGCCATACTGACACCTTGATTTAGGACCCCTGGCCTCCGGAGCTGTGAGAGGATAAGTTTCTGTTGTTTAATCCACTGAGTTCATGGTAACTGGTTACAGCAGCCTCAGCAAATTGGTACAGGGACCTTCCAGCCTCTCTTCTCCTACAGCAGCCCACCAGCCCCACCCCCCTACCAGAGCTTTAGCCACAGATCGCTCTAGTTCAGTCTTAGGTCCTCAGCTAGGCTGAGAGCTGCTGGAGGTCTCGGGCACTCATCTAGTGGGGCCCCAGCTGCCTGTGGCATTTAGAATTTGGGGCAGCCTCACGAGGTCGGTATCACTACTCACTGCTGTATACACAAGGACGCTGAGGCACAGGGGGTTAAACTACAAAGCTTTGTGCCGGAAGCTGTGCTATTTCTGTTCTCCAGTTTGTCTGCCGGGCAGCACGCTGGGGCACAGCCTACATGCCCTGCTATGATCGGGTGAGGCAGAAAGCCAAGGAAGCTTGACTACTGCTGTGATGGGGACAGCCGCCACTTTCTCTGGAATAATGTATTTGAATAAGCTCAGTCCAGAAGGCGGGTAGAAGTCATTCCACAATGAGAAGGTTCAAGACAAGATGAACTCAAGAAATCAAGCCCCAGGGTGCACGGAGGGAAGACCCCTTCCACGGTTGAGCAGGGGAAAGTGGAGGGGGTGACTAGAGACATGTAGTTCAGATGAACTTGGAGCTGAGAGGCCTTTGGGATGCCAGGCAGGTCTGGTATCTGATGGAAGGAAAGTGATAGCTGGACAGCCCCAAGGACACAGCCTGCAGGTCCCAAACTTTCAGCCCTCCCTGAAGTCCCTGAAGGCTTTGGCACCTAAAACAAGGCCTCCCCTCCTGGGAACTTACTGTGGCAGCCTCGGCAGGGCCATAGCTGGGGACAAGGCTGTGATGTTCTCCTGCCCCACTCTGCCATAAGCCAGCTTTTTCTGAAGTGTTACAGAACCCAGAATTTGGTTAAGGTCACTGCTCCCCATAGGGCTTGGTTCCTTCAAGGCCACATCCAGGCCTGGAATTCTCAAATAACCAGGCAGAGCGAAGCTGGGTGTGGGCAACTGATGGCGGCTACCTGACCCGACCAGTGCAGGACCTTTCTGACGCAGCGGGGTCGGAAAGGAAGGCAACTCAGGACCAGCTGGCGGCTCACCTGGAAGCTGTCGAGGACTGCGGACATTTTGCGACTACAGAATCTGAGGGCGGCACCACACGGAGCCTCGCTGACCAGCCCCTGTTGCCTCCTCCCCGCCCCCCCCCCCGGGGCCTCACAGGCAAGTTTGATCTTGGACTTCTGGCCTCCAAAACTGTGACACAGTCTATTTATGTTGTTCAAGCCACCAGTTTGGGGGACTTTGCTATTGGTGCCATGACAGCCAGCTGATGGGTAGTAAACATCCAAAGGAATTTTTTAGAATAAATGTTAAAATGTCTCTCAAATACATGATGCAGCACAACCCAATTCTTCTTCCTCTTTTAAAAAAACACCTGAAACCATTCATTGTCTTTCTTTCTTTTACACAAAACACAAATAAGGCGAAATCAGAGGTGTACACTGTTTGGGGCGGAATTATGTCCACTTCAAAATTTATATGTTGAAGTTCTAACCTCTAGTGCCTTAGATTGGAGCCTTATTTGGAAACAGGGTCATTGCAGATGGTATTTGTTTTTGTTTGTTTGTTTGTTTAAAGATTTTATGTATTTATTTGACAGAGAGAGATCACAAGCAGGCAGAGAGGCAGGCAGAGAGAGACAGGAGGAAGCAGGCTCCCTGCGGAGCAGACAGCCCAATGTGGGGCTCGATCCCAGGGCCCTGGGGTCATGACCTGAGCTGAAAGCAGAGGCTTAACCCACTGAGCCACCCAGATGCCCCCACAGATGGTATTTGTTAAGATGAGGTTCTACTGGAGTAGGACAGGCCCCGGATCTAAAATGACCTACGTCCTTATGAGGAGAGGAGATCAGAACACAGACCCACACAGGGAGGATCCCGTGGAGACACACAGGCAGAGGTGGCTATCTACAGACCAAGGACAGGCCTCCCTCCCAGGCCTCAGAAGGAACCAACCCTGCTTACGCCTTGAGTTTGGACTTCCAGCCTCCAGAGCCGGGAGACAAGATATTTCTGTTCTTTAAGTCCCCCAGTCTGCGCTACTTCTTCTGGCAGCCCTAGCAAACCAAGACAGCCCCCAAGTCCCATCAATGCTGCCTTGTGAAGAGCTCTCAAATCTTCCACTTGTTTAAAAGTTCTTACGGATGAGAGTTAACACAAACAAGGGAGTATCAGGGCGCCTAGGTGGCTCGGTCATTAAGCGTCTGCCTTCGGCTCATGTCATGATCCCAGGGTCCTGGGATCCAGCCCTGCATGGGGCTCCTGCTCAGCAGGAAGCCTGCTTCCCCCTCTCCCACTCCCCCTCTTGTGTTCCCTCTCTCACTGTCTCTCTGTCAAATAAATAAATAAAATCTTAAAAAAAAAAACAAAACAGAAAAGCAAGGGAGTATCCAGAGAGGAACGGAGTGAAGAGGAGGAGCCGCTGCTGGGCTGTGACCTCAGCTCCCTCCAGGCACAGAAGATCTGCAGCACTGCTCGCCCCCACAGTCTGTCTACGGCAGGTAGGCACACACAGATGGCTGTGGGACTTGAACTGGGGAGGGGAGTAGGGGCTTGCCGGTAAGTGGACTAGGCTCAGCTCACTGCATAGTACAAGGAAGTACTGCTTGCTCTGTTTGTGGACAAGTGAGCACCGTCATGTGCACAGATGCTCAGGGCTCAGAAATCAGAGCAAATCAGGGCCCCCTCTGTAGTGACATCCCCAGTGCTCAGCCTGCTCTTGCCCTGGCGTTCCAGTCCCAGACCCTCCCATATGACTGGCTCACAGGCCAGAGCCAGCGCACAGCACCTACCTGGGCTCCCAGCTCCCTGCAGGGCTGGGCAGACTCAGTGAAGCTGGGGACTGTGGAGCCACCTTCTCCAGAGGAGGCGGTGGGCACGGTTGGCAGGTTGAACTTGGACAACTTACAGTAGAGCTCTAAACAAGCCCAAGAATGGCAGGGCTAAGACCCTGATGGTAGGCCCTCTCAAACTCTAAGGCTAGTACTTTTTTCTAAGATGTTGTGGCTGCCATTAGGTTAAGTTAACACAGATAAGCATCGAACAGACAAGAGCGACATGCTGTCCCTGGACATCAGGCTGTTGTGCTCTGTTCAGCCCTAGAACATCCAACCACACAGGCTCTTATTGATTTCTATGCCCCATCTTGTCACTGGGCACATGGGGACGCTGACCCTGAGGCCCTGCAAGGCGGCGACCCAGCAGAAGTCCTACAGTGACACTGGCAAGGCAAGTCGGCAAGCCCCCAGCCCCAGGCAGAGATGAGTGGTTCATTACCTCCTTGAGCCAGGAGGGAAACTTGCTAGAGCAGGTGGGTCTTGGCTCTTCTCGGAAGGCCTGTCCTCATCCACCACCTCAACCCTGGGGACAAGAAGAGAAACATATGCACTGCTTGTCCCCTGTGGTGTGCTCAGCTGAATAGTGTGCCTCCAAACTTCATGTCTGCCTTGAACCTGTGAACGTGACCTTATTTGGAAATAGGGTCTCTGAAGATGTCATCAAGTTAAGATCAGGTCACTCTGGAGTAGGGTGAGCCCTACATCCAATGACCAGTGTCATTGGTCATTATAATAATGACCTTCTTATAAGGTCCTAATGGTCTTCTTATAAGAAGAGGGAAATGTGGACACAGACACAGAGAGAAAAGGTCCATTAGATAGAGGTGGAGACTGGAGTGATATGTCTACAAGCCAAGGAATGTCAAGGGTTGCCTGTGGTCACCAGAAGCTGGGAAAGAAGCCTGTGACGTAACATCCCGATCGTTCCCTGCGAGCCCTGTTCACCCTGTAGGGCCCATCTACAGTGTCACTCTCACTTCCAAGGGCCTGGCCAGGCAGAGGCTCCCAGTGACAAACCTCTGGACCCTAGCCCAATAATCCCTCCTGCCACGGCATTGTCCAACCTATCCCTGGCAGGGCGGGAGGGATGGGAACAAGTCCTTTTTGCCCTGGTAGCTACTTTTGCTTCAAAACATCAGAGGCCCTTGGAAACTCTATGACTCTGTTGGGGGTCAGGGCCCTAGCCCTGTTAGCAAATGGAAGTTTCCAGCCACAAGCTACATTCTGCTGGCCAGATCCTGCCTACACAGAAATGGCCGTTGAAGCCCCCAAGTGCCACCGCAGCCACCTAGTTGCTCACCGGGTCTCTCGACAGAAGCCACCAGCCCCTCACAACTTCCCACTCTAGGCTTGCCTTCCACAGAGCTCATACTCCACCCCTGCTGGCAGAAGACCTTCTCTGTAGCCAGCGAGAAGCTTCCAAGTCTTCCCTTGCCGACATTTACCTCTTCGCAATGAACGGGGCCTGCATCTCCTGGGTAGGGCTGCTGAAAAGGAAGCAGAAAAGGCAACGTGTTGGACAGAACCCGTGGACATGTGACATCATGACCACTCTGCTTTACAGGGACCTGGTCTCCTCTCTCACTAGTCCTGCTGGCAGGAGCCAGACCTCTCCGTTTTTCAGAAAGTAAATCCCAGAAGGTCTGGCTAGGAGGGTTCTCTCAACCAACCCCTCACTAGCCAAAGGAACCCTGGAGCCCTGAGGGGAGGGGAGCCGGTCGGTAGCTGGGCTGGCCCAGAGCCAGGCCCCGCCGTGTCTCCCGCTGTGTAACTAACCTGGTGCTCTTCTTGGCTGCTGACAGAACATAAGAGTGCTCGCGGGGAGCCGTCTTCCTCACCACACTGCTTGCGGCCTCTGACCTGGGGCGGCACAGGGAGGGGGCATCTAATGGCATAAGGCGGGACTCACTCTGCCAGCATAGCCAAATTAGCACCTGCTCCCAGAACTTACAGATGAGGAAACTGAGGCACAGGGAGCTTTAGTGACTTCAGAGACCTCCCAGGGGCAGGGCCTATTTTGGTCCAATTTGCTCAGGACCCTTTCTAACAAATTGATATAAAGTCCCAAAGCACCTTCCTCCCTCCAGCCTGTCTGCCCACAGTGGAGGCTTCTCACGGACCCTCATCTCCTAGGTTTTGCTCCATAAAAGGTTCATAAGAGGGTCTTCTGAGCTGGCCCAGCCCTGAGTCGGTGGTTCTGGGACTCAGTAAATGAGTAAACGGTCAGCCACTTCTCCAGTATGATCCATACATGCTGTGCATTTCGTTACCTCAACTGGCGCAATTCCTATGTCACTGGTCCACGCAAACTTGGGCCCCTGCCCTGCCCGTGGGACGTCAGGTGGGCACCATTACCTCCGTTTCTGCTCATCAGATGAGAAGGGTACCTCCTCCTCTTCAGCGGCCTCCGAAGCGGAGCTACGCCGGACGTTGTAGGGTGCCCTGGGGGAGGGGAGGGGCGGAGGTTACTGTCAGTTGTGGCCCCTCCTCCCCCATCTCTGCCCATGCTGGTACTGCTGCCTCTGAGCCTTTGCTCATGCCACTTCCTCCTCAAGGGCCAGCCCTCTCCTCTCTCCTTGGTCCAGCCCTAACTGTCCCTCAAGACCCAGCTGAAGCCTCTCAACTCTCTCATCTCCTTCTCCAGAGATTTCTTAGCTGCTCCATGTCACTGGATGATTGTGGGGCCCCTGGGAACTACGGGTACAACCCACACCTCTGTCCACAACCCCCCCTCCCTGGGCACATTGTTGGGGGCTTCTTTGACAGGGGCCAGAAGGGGAGCCCAGAAGATTTATATCCAAGAAGCCACTCAGATTTCTGCACAAAATGCCAAGAACTGATAGGCCACCAGGACCATGAGCTTGCTTGGGGTCATCAGGCCCCAGTCCAGCCTAGCTTGAACCCCAGAGGGGTGCAGAGGCATGTCCAGAATACAGAGCCAACCAGCAGCGGCCACAGCCATAAGCCATGACCCCTTTTGCAGACCCACTGGTCCCTTCAACAAGCTTCTTTACAGTCCTTGCTTTGCCTCCGGTCAGAAGTGCAACGTGTCCAGCTGTCCAGCTTTCTGGGGTTTGTCACTCTGTTGGTAAGCTCCAGGTCACAGTGGCAGCTGGCAGCGATGTCAGGCAGGCGGAACTGGCATTCCTGGGCCATGCGCAGAGGTAAGCAACCAGCTGCCCTCAGCAGACCAGGTGTTTGGGCTCGTCCTTGGAGGGAGCTGAGCTAGGTCTGCAGTTACATACTTACAGCTTCTTGTAATCCTCAGTGGTCATCTTATAGCCAGAGGAGGAGGGGCGGGGAGGTCCAGCAGGAGTGGCTCTCAGCAGGCCGGTTGCACTGGAGAGGAAAGGAGTTTCCATGTGCCCACTCCCAGGTCCCGTCTTGCTTCCAAATTTGCCCACATGGCCCAGGAGACATGAGGCTAGGGGCCTTTCCTCTTTTCTCTCACCACCCTGAGCAGGGCAGCCCTCCTGCCATAGGTAGGCCCAAGCCCCTTAGCCCTGCCTCTCTGGTGGAGCCCAGGTTCACCTTGACACTGAGGTGCTTTGATGACGCGTCACCTCAGTCTGCCAGGAAGAAGGCAGACTAAAGCACACAGCTCAGTGCAGTCAGCTAGCAAGTCAAGGCTGGGAAGCCCTCTCAGCCTCCTCCCTGTGTCTCTGCCCCGGCGACGAGGGCCAGGCAGGTGGTGGCCCAGGATCTCCCAGAGGCATGGCTGCTGGGGAACCCAAGTGTCAGACTGGACCATACATCCACCTGGAGCCTTTCTGTCCCAGCACTGCTACCCAGGGCCCTGACCCATGGAGGTAGAGAGCTGCCACCTACCACCCCTCCTGCCCGCCCCCTCTTACTGACAGGAAGAATCATCTCTGTGCCACAAGCTTGGCATAGGCCCTCACCCCATGGACACACACCTTTTTGGAGCTCCGTTGGCCTTGGGGAAGTGCTGCTGGGGCTGGCACGAGCTGTCTATGGGCCTGGTGAACACTCCCCTAAAAGAAAGCCCAGAAGAAGTCCAGTGAGAAGCCGGGGGGTTGTGCGGGCAGGCATGGGGAAGTGGGCAGGGTCCTGTGGTCACCTACCGGATGATATAGCCAGTGGGAGCCCTTGTGCTTGGAGGCCTGCCAAGGGAAAGGAAGGTATGAGGTGAAGCAAAGATGCCCTACTTTCTCTTGCACCCAGAGAAAGCAGAGTGGATTGGCCGGTGGGTGTCCCAGTGTGGTCAGAGTGAGGACAGCAAGAGGGGCAGCCACCCCTTCACCCAAGCCAGGGTGCCTGTTCTGCTCTGCCCATTTCTCATGCTCCCCCAGGAAAGGGACTTATGGCTGATTCTTCCAGGACTGGCCCAGAACGGTCCTGGCTCACACCAAGTACCAGGCAAGTGTATTTCAAGGCTGAGCGTTTCCTGAAGAGGGTTCCCCTCCAAACTCCAACTTTTCCCTGGCCTGCCAGGGCCCAACAATCCCATGAGAAAGAGGTCATTTGGGATTGCTGACAGAGCCCGCTCACCCTCTATTGTCAGAACTGGAGGCTCCATGGCCAGAGGCCATGGTCCTTGACCTGACATCTCTGCGCAGCCTCCTTTGGGGAGGCTCGTGAGGGCCCCAGGGGTAGAACTGAAGCCAGATGCCCCTCCCTTCCTGCTCCTTGGGGCTTCCCTCTTCCAACTCCTGAGACGCCCACATCACAGTCTGGATGCACGTCTGGGACTGGAGGGCGTGGCTGGAAAGCAAACACAGCGCACGTGCTGGGTGCCTCCTCCGTGGGAGCAACTGAGTGGCAGGGACAAGGAACAAGGATTAGGCAGAGGAGTTTAGTGCTGGAGCAGGGGTGGGGCAGTGGATCTAAGGGAACCCCATGCAAGCACATCTTGACAGACCCTGTCCTCAGTAGCGACAGCCTCCTGGAAGTGACAAAGTTGCAAGAACACTTGGGGTGGGACCTGAGAAAGAAAGGTCATTTTCCCCCCATTTAGCCACAGGTACATTTTTGGTTGAAATACCCATGCCTTGGAGAGAATGAGAGCCAAAGTTTAATAGACTTTCAGGTACCCCTGCTCTAGGCCCTGAATCATAGTCCCAGGATATGCTTTCCAAACAGAAGCCCTGGGCGAGACCTGCACCCCCCCCCCAAAGTGAACAAGTGCCCCAGTGAGTAGACTGTCTTCGAACCGCCCTCAGGCCTTCACCAACCTTGCTGATGGCAGCGGTCACAATTCATAATTCTCTTTTATAATCTTCTCTCTCCTTGGGTCATGCCTGTGTACCCTGCTAAGATGTCAGTTCCCTAAAGGGAGACCTGTGTCCTCTGTGGGTACCGAGTCAGTGAACAGTGGTGATGGGCAAGTCCACAGTTATCAGGGGCAGCCCTGGAACTCAGCAGTGCACTTGGACCCCTCCCTCCCAGCTACTGCCGCTGCCTTTCCCACCACCTGAGAAAGGCCCTGGCGACTGCACTCACTCTTACTTCTCAGGAGCTTCAGAGCATCCCTAGACAACGATATGTGAAAGTCCTCAAAACTGGGAGGCGACTGGCTATTCCCTTTGGCCAGCTGTCAAAAGAGATCATCCTGAATTTGGGAGACAGTTGGACCAAACGTGTGCGTCTCCTCTCACGTGCTGATTACCAAGTGTCCTCAGCAATCCAGGCTCCAGATGGGAGAGAGTCATGTGTGACTCTCAGCTGCCTGATCCCCTGAGAGATGTTGTCTCACCGCCTACAGGGGCTTCTCAGTGTCCAGTAGACAGCCGGAACCATGGAGGCCCATAAGGCAGCCAGCTTCAAGGTCACACAGCAAGGCCAGGCACCTGAACCCAGTGACTCCTGAATTCTCTTTCCCAAAAGGAAAGAGAGCAGAAAAGCCTGTCCTTCCTGTGGAGTTGAAATGACTCTGACATCTCTTCCGAGCTTGGGCTCCTCCTTATCCCCTGAAGACTGCAGCATGAGTTCCCCCCACCAGCCATCTGGGTGCCCCCTCTTACCTAGCCTTCGGGACTTCCCCAGCCGATGAAAAGGATGCGGCACGACTCCGACCAGAGGGCAGCTCTCTGAGGAAACAGGAGTTGTGAAAAAGGGGCGCCCTACCATCCTAGAGGCTGCCTGCTGACTCAAAGCAGTGGAGCCGGGGTGCAGCGCATGCACGTCAGCAACTTGGCCCACCTTTCCCATCTCACCTTCACCTGCCCTGGCCTGCCTCCGCACGCCGCAGGCCTGCATGGACACAGCCACGCAGCAGCCAGGGCTTCCCCGCCCCGTGACTTCGCTAGGGGCTGGCCTCAGCTGGATTGCTTTCCTAAGCTCCGCCCTCCCCAGCTGGCCTGTGGCCACAGGGCCAGGCCGGGGTCTGCGTGGTCGGAGTCCCTCAGCACCCCCAGGTGCTGACAGGCCCCAGCTCAGCCCACGTTTGCCGGCTTACAGGGTGAGGCCCTCCGAGTTTCCCTCCGAGTCATCCTGCTTGGTGATCCAGCTCTTGTCCCCCTTGAGCGTGGTTCGAACCTTCATCTGCTTGAGGACATTGTTGCGTTCCTCCTCGCCAGGTGGTAGGGCCTTCCCTGGAAGGGGCGAGGCCAGGCAGCCTCAGAAGAGGAGCCCAGCCCCAGAATCGTGAGGCCTCCCTCCCAGTTCCCCCAGTCTGCTGCCCTCACCTTTAGCGCCGCCTCCGAGAGCTGAGATACTCATGGTGCTTGCTGTGCAGATCCCGTCTCAGCTGATCTGACTGGGCTCCTGGGGGCAAAGGCAAACACACAGTTTGTCACTTCACCATGCGGTCCCTGACACACCAGGGCCGTCCAGACTGTCCTTTTGGCCCTGGGAAGCAAGAGCTGATGGAGTTCTGGTGGTGGGCAGAGGCCAGGGAGTGAGCACACGTTGCTTCTTCTCTCCAGTCGGCCTCAGTGCCCTCATTTGTAAAATGGGATTTTAAAAAAGTCTACCCTTCAGTACTGCTATGAAGGCAGAATGCACCCGTGTTCCTGCAAATGCCTGGCACCACCTGGCACAGCAAAGATCTCAGGGCAGTTGGACAGGAGCCAAGCAGCAGGGACTCTCAGCCTGTCCTTGCTGGGCGAGAGGACTCTCAGTGGTCTTCAACCAGTACAAGCCCAACCTGAGGGTGTGCTGCTTTCTTTCTCTTCCTCTCTGTATTCTTGCCCTGCTTCCCTCCTTGCCTCTTCTCTGCCCTCTCGCCGTTGCTTCCCTCCTGTGGCCAGTGAGGGGTGGACCACGGTGGTCACTCTCTGAGGCCTTCACAGCACCATGAAGGTCTTTGCCCCAGAAGGGGCTGGGGTGAGGAAGCTGCCTCTCCAGGCGGGGACTAGCACTGTGCTTCAGGGAGAGGGAAGGCCCATATGGTGAGTTTAATCCCAGCCCCGGCCTGCCACAGTTGGCACAGTTGGCCCAGTTGGACCTGCCACAGTTGCACAGTTGCAAGCGGGCATGATGGGAAGGAGGGGCTGTGGCTCTGCCAAAAGAGTCCTGAAGCAGAGCGGCCTCCCTCTTAGGAGTCTGCCACCCTCTGGGCCTCACCAGGGCCAGGCCCAGAGAGGCCGGGCCCTGCTGCCAGCTGGCAAGCCCTTGACATGTTTCCTTAGAGGTCAGGGGCACACTAAAATAGGTAAGGCAAGGGCCAAGAGCAAACCAAATTTGCCGCATCAGCAAGAGCTGGCTTTCCCATAAACCACACTGGATGAGCAGTCCAGGAGGCCCAAGCCTCCTGCGTGCCAGGAATGGCACCTCATCACAGTGAATGTCAGCCCCACTGCCCAGCCCCTGACCAAAGCTGCCATGTCAGAGTTCTGTTGAGCAGAACTCATTCCAGAGGTGATCCTTGGACCTCATAGGTCCAACTCTCCCATCCCAGCAGCCCATGGAGTAACCCTACTGGGCAGGACACACAGACAGAGTTGCCACCTGGGATCTCAGCCCCTCAGTGTGCTAGTGCCTCTGACTGACTGTGAGACCTTGAGCAAGTCCCTCACCTTCTCTGGGCCCAGCTCAGGGACTCCTACTGCTGAGTCTTTAGGTTCCTTCAGGAAGTCATCAGTTTCCCCTTGACAAACCTGTGGCCCACATTGCCTAGAAGTTTTCTGCCCAAATCAGAACAAACCAGCCACCTCCAAAATCAGGACACATGCACACACATGCAGGATGACAGAGACAGAGGGCCCACAGGAACTCACTGGCCAAAGGGACAGAGACACGTGTAAGAGTCCACAGCAAGGCGGAGTGGAGTTGCTTCGGGTCCCATCTTTACAGCTGAAACCCCAATCAGAAGACTCAAGGCTAATTGCTTCCACTTCACCATGCAAAAAGCATCTCAGAAGTCAAATGTCCTTTTTTGATAGGACAATAAAACTGAAAGAGGGAGGAAATAGAGTCTTCCCATGGGATTGAAGAAGGCAGCTCCTTGGACCAAGGAGCCTTTAAAATGGACAGATGGACACATGAGGTTTGAATTCATGTCCCAGCTACAGGGCTGGTTTTTCCCTCCACCTCACCACTCCCACCTTCCCCCTCCCCACACGGCCCTGGACCCCTTTCTTCTGTTCCCAGACAAGACCTGCTCCCTCTACCAGCCTCAGCAATGGCAGAACCGAGGCACCCCACCTCACACCCCAACACACACCCTGCACTGAATACCAGCACTGGAAGCTGGCAGGAGCCATTCTTCTGACTAACCAAACATTGCCACCCCTCCTCGGACCCAGGTCTCCTCTCAGACCTACCATCTCCTTCATCCCCAATCAATGGACAGTCAGAAAAACCCTCACTACAGACAGGCATCTCTCATGCACTGTTGGTGCATGGGTCAATGGACACATCTTTTCATAGGATAAATCTCTATATGTATTGAAAACCTTAGCAGGGTAAGACCATTGGTCCTTCAGCTCTCCATCACAGCAATCTCTCCTAAGGACACAAATGAGTAAACAGAATAAAGTATACTAGAGGGGTGGCATCCCAGTGTTGAGTAAAATAGTGAAAATCAGGCAATAATATAAATTCCCAACAGTCATGTTTAAATAAATTCTGATCCATTCATCATTCAAGCAAATACTAGGTAGTCATTACAAATGATATTGACATATAGTGATATTTAACATGCCTTCATGTTTCCTTATAATATAAAGTGAAAGAAGCTTAAAAAAAAAAAGACATGTAGAGAGCGACTGAGTGGCTCAGTTGATTAAGCGTCCGATTCTCGGTTTCAGCTCAGGTCGTGATCTTAGGGTTGCGAGACTGAACCCTACATTGGGCTCCAGGCTCAGAGTGGAGTCTGCTTGAGATTCTGTCTCTCCCTCTCCTTCTTCCTCTCCCCACACTCTAAATAAATAAATAAATAAATAAATAAATAAATAAATAAATAAGCTCTTTAAAGAAAGTACATTACAGTGCACAGGGAAAGAAACACCTGAATGGATATATACCAAAATACTTTGCTCTTGTGTGTATTCTATTTTTCCTATAATGAATATGCATTGCCTGTGTGATAAAGACTAAACAAACAGTGGTTTAAGCAAGTGAAATGGGAGCTGGGACTGCTTGGATAGCCAATGATGGATCTCAAAAGCTGATGCCACGTGAGCAGTGCTGAGGAAGGACTGGGAAGTGAGGAGAGTCACGGATGCAGCGGGGAGTTCTCTCCCTCCCTCAGGGTAGACATCCTGGGTAGGGGCGGCGTGCCCTGGGCCTATAGGGACCCTCTGTGCTGCTCTGAGCCGAGCCTTGTCACCTGCAGGCACACACATGACCTCCTCTACGCTCTTGGGTCTTCTTTGCCCATAGCTCACATAGGAGGGAGAACAGGCATGTCCCCCCACCCAGTTCTAGTTTTGCTCTTCTTCTGGGTACTTGGGCTTCTTTCAAACCCTTCTAGGCCCCCCTGGTACATGAGACCTGCCATCCAGTAGGGCCACCTGGCCTGAGAGCTCACATCTTTGCTCCTCATCCCTAAGTGGCTTCACATGGCTGCGGCATCGTCCTACTGTCTGGGCCTCAATTTCCTCATCTGTAAAGTGGTGCCAAGCCACCAAGCCCATGGACCTACTCATTGGGTCTCATACTGGTAGGATACCTCTAAGCCAGAGCATGTGTCATTGCCTAGAATGTGGTGCCAGCTCTTTTCCATCCCATAGTTTGGGTGTTATGATACTAGTGGGTGTCGTCATCTCCTAAATGGCCTGTGTGAGTGCATTTCTAGTCAGGACAGCCACTCTGTGTACATTTCTAGTACTACAGCTCCTGTTTCGACCTTGATATGGAGAAGTCTCCTTGTACTGTAGGAACTGCCATCTTGCCCTGCTTAGGAACAGTGTCTTATCTGCCACTTTTCATCCTAGCTTTCCCTCATAGAGCAACTTCTTGTGCCAACTCCAAGCAAGGTGCCACAGTCAGACCACACCAGCCTGTCCCAAGGCAGCTCAGGACCAGGTCCAAATCCCCTGAGCAGTCCAGGCCACCTCAGACACCAGATGGCCTCCAGCCCGCCCTCTTGGCCCTTCACACCCTTCTCTCTACCCTCCCCCTGCCTGCAGGGGTGCCTCCTTAGCAAGAAGGAGTGCGGGAGATGGGGACAGGCCCTTCCTGATGGAGATGGCCTCCAGATGCACCTTCCTCCCTACTGCTGAAGCCTCTCAAAGGCTTTCCAGCAACCTCCCAGGAAGGGGCCTCTGGTCCCGATTAGATAGCAAGAAGGAGTGGGAGAGATGGGGACAGGCGCTCCCTGATGGAGATGGCCTCCAGATGCACCTTCCTCCCTACTGCTGAAGCCTCTCAAAAGCTTTCCAGCAACCTCCCAGGAAGGGGCCTCTGGCCCTGATTAGATAAAGAGAAGCAAAAAGCCAATGAAAGAGTGCAAGGAGCTTGCTCTCCCCAGGCCACAGCAAGCCTGGTGTGGTCAGGGAGTGGAGGTGGGCAGATCAGCCAAGGAGTTGGAAGAAAGTGACGCCAATGCTTGGCTGATGCACAGGAGACAGAGATGGCGAGAGAAGCAGCAGGAGGAGGGGCATCCCATCACCCCACAAGGACAGGGCGTGCTCTGCCTCCAAGATGAGAAGACTAATTTAGAGAAAATTTTCTGGAATTGCCACCCTGCTTGATTTTCCATGTCGTACATACCTCTTTTCTCAAGCAGGCTTTGGTGTCTTTGCCCTTGTAGCTACCTCCTTGCCAAATGGCCTCAAGCCCCAGCCCAGGCAGCATCTCCCAGAGGAGCCCTCAAGTCCCACAGCTCCTTGGCTGAGGAACACAGGCTGGTCCCAGTCTCAGCTGCACTGCACTAAAAATGTCTGCATTTTCCACTAGCCTGGAAGGAAAGGGAACCAAAGGAGAGGAAGAAAGCGTAGAGAAACAGAGCTCACCTGAGTCAGACAGCATAGCAGTGTGCCCTGGTGGCAGTCTCTGGCCACCAAGTGTCACCCGCCCTGGAGACTTGCCAGCCTGCCCCAAGACTGAAATGTCCTGTTCTGCCTCTGCCCCCCACACAGCTGGGACAGGCTGGCTTCTTCCAGACAACTGGGCGAACACCAACAAGGGGGCAAGGCTGCTGAGCCTGCGAACGTATGCAGCCCGGCCCTTGGTCCCACTGCCCCACCCCCGCCCTGGGGACCGTGGCCTGGGATCTTTGTGCCAAGGGCTTGTGTGAAAGAAGACAGAAAGCTGAGCAAGTGGCTGGCTGGGGACTAGGGGAGTGCTGGATACCAGGCAGAAACCTCCTAGGCAAACTG